TGTTGTGCAACAATAAACATAGGCTGAACACGCTTTCCCAGGAGGCCAGGTGTGAATAGGGCCCAAAACTGAGGCATCATCTGACAATTCTAAATTGAGGTGACAGGAATCGGCCTGCAATCAGCCCCGCCCCCTGTCACGTGACAATTCTGAATAGATGGAAGAGCACGGTTGCCAAACATCCGTAAATTTAGGGGGGTAGTGAATAATACACTAAGGTAAGGAGTGACACTGATATAACGGTCCCCCCCTTATATAAGTTACCTCCCCCCTTACCTTAGTGTATTCACACTGCGGAAGATGGTCTGCCTTTGAGGTCACCAGACCCCCCCCCCCCCCTTCCACACACACACACATCAGACTTTCCAGCATTCCCTCTTAAAGCAGAGTCCTCAGAGTTCCCCTTTAGACTGGGATCACACTGATGCGGTGCTGAATTCACAGTGGTTTCAGTGCAAATTCCGTACTGCATCATAATCACACCCCGTTCATGCGAACTGCTGTGGGTATGCATGTTAACAACACCCCAAAATTGGTTTGCAAAACGCGGAGCGATGTGCTGAATCGGATTGCATGGGTGTGAATACCCATGCCATCCGATTCTAGTGCTAACCAAAAAAGGGTCCTGCACCTTTCTGGTGTGCATGCAGTGCGATTTGAGCCATACAAAATGTATAGCTCAAATCGCACCGCACAGAATCCGCATGTAATTTGCACAGGAATGTGGTGCAGTTCCTGTGCAAATCACATGCGATATGCAGCACTGCAGAAGTGTGACCCAGGCTTACACCAGAGTCCACAGCATTCCTCTTTACATTAGAATTCCCCGTTACATCAGAGTTCCTTTTTAAATCAGAGTCCAAAGAGTTCCCCCTTGCACTGTAAATGGGAATCCTGCAGACTCTGATGTAAGGGGGAACTCTGTGGACTCTTGCGTAACGGGGGAAGTCTGGTGACTGGAGACTCTCTTACATCAGAGTTCCCCTTTACATCACGGTCTGCTGTTTCCTCTTCACATCGGGGTCTGCAGAGTTCCCCCTTACACTTTATATCACTGTACACTGTAAGGGGGAACCCTATGGATTTTGATGTAAAGGGGAATTCTGTGAAGTCTGATGTAAGACAGAACTGTGTGGACCGTGATGCAGGGGGAACCCTGTGGACTCTAATGTAAAGGAGAAGAGAGAGAGAGAGTTGCTCTGGTGACCCCTTTAACATCATGATCTGCTGTTTCCCCTTTCCATCAGGGTCCGCAGAGTTCTTCATTACACTGTACTTACACTTTAAATCATTGTACACTGTACGGGGGAAACCTGCTGACTCTGATATAAAGGGGAAATCTGTGGACTCCAAAGTAAGGAAAAACTTTGTGGACTGTGATGTAAAGTGGAGCTCTATGGAGTCTTATATAAGGGAGAAACTGATGTATGGGGGAACTCTGTGGACAGTTATGTAAAGGGGAGCTTTGTGGACTGGACTCTTGTGTAATGGGGAGGCTCTGGTGACCAGAGACCTCCTTACATCAGAAATTACCTTTGCACCAGAGTCCGCAGCATTCCCCCTTACATCAGATTCCTCAGAGTTCTCCATTACATCAGAATTCCATTATACATCAGGGGCCACAGAGTTCCCCCTTGCACTGTAAAGAGGAACACTGCAACGTTTGATGTACAGGGAAACTCTGTGGACTGTGATGTAAGGGAGAATTCTGTGGACTGTGATGTAAGGGAGAACTCTGTGGACTGTGATGTAAGGGAGAATTCTGTGGACTGTGATGTAAGGGAGAACTCTGTGGACTGTGATGTAAGGGAGAACTCTGTGGACTGTGATGTAAGGGAGAATTCTGTGGACTGTGATGTAAGGGAGAATTCTGTGGACTGTGATGTAAAAGGACATCTGTGGGCTGGACTCTTGTGTAAGGAGGAGGGATCTGGTGACCTGAGATCCCCTTACATCAGAGTTCCCCCTTGCACTGTACAGGGGAATCCTGCAGACTCTGATGTAAGGGGGAACTCTGTGCTGGGTTAATGTGACCTTCATGTAAAGGGAGACATGTTTTTTTTGCCTTGTTATACCCTGAGTACATTGCTAATTGCATCAGCCGCATGTTTGTAGCCTACATATTGATATTTGCGCTGAAGCCGGTCAGTTTGTCTACTTTTCTGAACTGTCAGTAATGCAGGCCATAGATGGGTCGAAAATCGGCCGATTTTCGGATCGTTAGTGGGCTATTTGGTCGGCCGTTTTTTCGGTATTTTGGCCGTTTTTTTTTTTTCTGTAAAGTTGGAAAAAAAATCGGCCGATTTTGCCGATCGGCCGATTTTCGCTGCAATTAGTGGGCAAATCGGCCGATTTTTTGCCGATAAAAAATCTGCGCATGAGCAGTGACCTGCAAGAGGAAGACAAAAAGAAGAAAAAGAAGAAGAGGAAGAGGATGAAGAAGAGGATGAAGAAGAAGAGGAAGAAGAAGAGGATGAGGAAAAAGAAGAAGAAGAGATGAGGAAGAAGAAGAAGAAGAGGATAAGGAAGAGGAAGAAGAAGAAGAAGAGGATGAAGAAGAAGAAGAAGAGGATGAGGATGAAGAAGAAGAGGATGAGGATGAAGAAGAAGAGGATGAGGATGAAGAAGAGGATGAGGATGAAGAAGAAGAAGAAGAAGAGGATGAGGGTGAGGAAGAAGAAGAAGAGGATGAGGATGAAGAAGAAGAAGAGGATGAGGAAGAAGAAGAAGAGGATGAGGATGAAGAAGAAGAGGGTGAGGATGAGGATGAAGAAGAAGAGGATGAGGATGAGGAAGAAGAAGAGGAGAAGGAGGAGGATGAAGAAGTGGATGAGGAAGAAGAGGAGGATAAGGATGAAGAAGAAGAAGAAGAGGATGAGGATGAAGAAGAAGATGAGGATGAGGATTAAGAAGAAGAGGACGAGGATGAGGAAGAAGAGGATGAGGATGAAGAAGAGGATGAGGATGAAGAAGAGGATGAGGAAGAAGAAGAGGAGGATGAGGATGAAGAAGAAGTGGATGAGGATGAGGAAGAAGAGGAGGATAAGGATGATGAAGAAGAAGAGGATGAAGAAGAGGATGATGAAGAAGAAGAGGACGAGGATGAGGAAGAAGAAGAGGATGAGGATGAAGAAGAGGATGAGGATGAAGAAGAGGATGAAGATGAAGAAGAGGATGAGGATGATGATGAAGAAGAAGAGGATGATGAAGAAGAAGAAGAGGATGAAGAAGAAGAAGTAGGATGAAAATAAGAAGAATTCCAGTCCAGCAAAAAGTGTCCCTGCAGAGAGCTCCGCTATTTCTGACAGTTCTTTGACATTTACAGCGGTTGAAACATTAACGACCGAATTTTCGTTTTTTAAAAGAAAAATCTGCCGTTTTTCTCCCCATCTATGGCCAGACTTTGGGAAGTTGGCAACCTCGTGTAATGCAGGCCATAGATGGGGAGAAAAACGGCAGATTTTTCTTTTAAAAAACGAAAATTCGGTCGTTCAAGCGGCCGACGTTGCCATCAATGGTAAAAAAAATCGGCCGATTTTCATCCCTTCTACAGCCAGCAAAAAGTGTCCCTGAAGAGAGCTCCGCTATTTCTGACAGTTCTCTGACAGTTCCTTGACATTTACAGCGGTTGAAACATTGTATCTATTTATTTCCATTTAGGATACAGATGTTTTTATTCGGAAACAAATAGATACAATGTTTCAACCGCTGTAAATGTCAAGGAACTGTCAGAGAACTGTCAGAAATAGCGGAGCTCTCTGCAGAGACACTTTTTGCTGGACTGGAATTATTCTTATTTTCATCCTACTTCTTCTTCTTCTTCTTCTTCTTCTTTCATCCTCATCCTCTTCTTCTTCTTCATCCTCATCCTCTTCTTCTTCTTCATCCTCATCCTCTTTTTCATCCTCATCCTCTTCTTCATCCTCATCCTCTTCTTCTTCATCCTCATCCTCTTCTTCTTCTTTTCATCCTCATCCTTTTCTTCATCCTCATCCTCTTCTTCTTCATCATCATCCTCTTCTTCTTCATCATCCTCTTCTTCTTCTTCATCCTCATCCTCTTCTTCTTCATCCTCATCCTCTTCTTCTTCATCCTCTTCTTCTTCCTCTTCTTCTTCATCCTCATCCTCTTCTTCTTCATCTTCTTCTTCCTCATCCTCTTCTTCTTCTTCATCATCCTCCTCCTCCTCCTCTTCTTCTTCCTCTTCTTCATCCTCATCCTCTTCTTCATCATCACCATCATCATCCTCATCCTCTTCTTCTTCTTCATCCTCTTCTTCTTCATCCTCATCCTCTTCTTCTTCTTCCTCTTCTTCTTCCTCTTCTTCATCCTCTTCCTCTTCTTCTTTTTCTTCTTCTTTTTGTCTTCCTCTTGCAGGTCACTGCTCATGCGCAGTTTTTTTATCGGTAAAAAAATCGGCCGATTCGCCCACTAATTGCCGCGAAAATCGGCCGATCGGCAAAAAAAACGGCCAAAATACCGAAAATCGGCCGACCAAATCGCCCACTAACGATCCGAAAATCGGCCGATTTTATTTTCGGCCGAAAAATCGGCCGATTTTCGACCCATCTATGGCCTGCATTAGAGGAGGCAGACCGCACTCAGCGACTCAAATCAAAAACATCAACCCCGCTTCTGTCATGTGACATTTCTGAAAAGCGGAGAGGATCCGGCCTACACTTAGCCCCGCCCATTGACGTTTCTGAATAGAGAAACGAACCTGTCAGCACTCAGCCCCGCCCATTGCCGATTCTGAATGGAGGGAACATGGACCGGCTTACACTCAGCCCCGCCCCTACTAATAACATCAGCCCCACCCCTTGTCATGTGACCTCTTTTCCCACACGTGCTTTATTTTAACTCCTTGCGGCGGAGGGGGGCGTGACTTTTTGGTATTCAGCCGTCATTCCCAATTGGCCAGTCTGCTGGCAGCTGACCTCTACGCATCCAATCACCGTGTACCGAGGAAGGTCGCGTCCTTGGTTGCCGGGGTCACAAGATGGCGGGGCGCAGGATCTTCGGCAGGCTGCATCACCATCCCGATTTACCGGCCGCCCTGCTCCTGCTCCCCCCCGGAGCCCGCCGCCCCCCGCAGCTCCCTCTACCCGCCGGTGGTGGCCTCTATGACCGCCAAGAGTAAGGCGTCCAGGCGGCGTCGGATAGAAGGACACTACAGCCGGGTACACGCTCAGACCGACCTCGACAGCAAGCTGCAGCTGATCACCGGGCACCAGCGGATGAAGTACGTGGTGTACCCGCAGAGCTTCGCGCTCCACTCCGACCGCTGGTACCAGCACTTCACCAAGACCGCCTACAGGCCGGGACTCCCGGAGACCAGGAGAGGCCTGGAGGAGGACGAGCTGGGCCGGATCCGCTCTCTGCTCTGTGAGCGCCTCCTACATCACTACTACTACACCCGGAGAGGACGGAGCTTCCTGTACCGGGGACACCTCACCTCTGCCGCCCCCTTCATCACCGACCTCGCCAACCTCCTCACCGTCCACTGTAACAACCCCCACACCACACACGGGAGCTGGGTAAGAGGGGATCTACTGATCACTAGGGGGGATCTACTGATCACTACGGGGGGGTCTACTGATCACTACGGGGGGGTCTACTGATCACTAGGGGGGGTCTGCTGATCACTACGGGGGGGTCTGCTGATCACTACGGGGGGGGGGGGTCTGCTGATCACTACGGGGGGGGGGGGTCTGCTGATCTACTGATCACTACGGGGGGGGGTCTGCTGATCACTACGGGGGGGGGGTACTGCTGATCACTACGGGGGGGGGGGTCTGCTGATCACTACGGGGGGGGGGGGTCTGCTGATCACTACGGGGGGGGGGTCTGCTGATCACTACGGGGGGGGGGGTGTACTGATCACTACGGGGGGGTGTACTGATACTGATACTGATCACTACGGGGGGGGGGTGTACTGATCACTAGGGGGGGGGGGGGGGTCTACTGATCACTACGGGGGGGGGGGGGGGTCTACTGATCACTACGGGGGGGGGGTCTACTGATCACTACGGGGGGGGGGGTCTACTGATCACTACGGGGGGGGGGGGTCTACTGATCACTACGGGGGGGGGGGGGGGTCTACTGATCACTACGGGGGGGGGGGGTCTACTGATCACTACGGGGGGGGTCTACTGATCATTAGGGGGGGGGGATCTACTGATCACTACGGGGGGATCTACTGATTGGGGAGGGGATATCTACTGACTGCAACGAAGCCATCTGCTGACCGCGTCGGGGGAAGGTGGTCATCTGCTGACCGCGTCGGGGGAAGGTGTCATCTGCTGACCGCGTCGGGGGAAGGTGGTCATCTGCTGACCGCGTCGGGGGGAAGGTGGTCATCTGCTGACCGCGTCGGGGGAAGGTGGTCATCTGCTGACCGCGTCGGGGGAAGGTGGTCATCTGCTGACCGCGTCGGGGGAAGGTGGTCATCTGCTGACCGCGTCGGGGGAAGGTGGTCATCTGCTGACCGGTCGGGGAAGGTGGTCATCTGCTGACCGCGTCGGGGGAAGGTGGTCATCTGCTGACCGCGTCGGGGGAAGGTGGTCATCTGCTGACCGCGTCGGGGGAAGGTGGTCATCTGCTGACCGCGTCGAGGGAAGGTGGTCATCTGCTGACCGGTCGGGGGGAAGGTGGGAATCTGCTGACCGCGTCGGGGGAAGGTGGGAATCTGCTGACCGCGTCGGGGGAAGGTGGGAATCTGCTGACCGCGCCGGGGGAGGGGCGAAATTGATTGCATCAAAGTCATTTATCGGCAGTTTTTATTTTTTTCTATCGCTGCCTATTTTCAGCCAATAATTTTCGACACTCGATATATATCGGTACAACTAACCACAACAATACTTACTAAATTAATTGCTTTCATTCAGTAAATTACTTGCTTATAGCAGTGAAATTCACTGTTATCAGCAATCATAAATTTTGTTTTTTAAAACAACAAAAAAGTCCTGCTCACTTCCCAAGAGTCTTACTCTTGTCACAAAAAAAAATAGAATGTTTTCTTTTTTCGTACTGTGGCCAGTCAGCGTCTCTGATCACCACCACACCAGTTATATGATGATGCTGTACTGCACTGGTGACTGTCCGGGCATTTTTGGTATTTTCAGATATATACGTTGGTTTGTGCACTCTGACTATCCTACAGAATAAATAAATGCTGATTTGGGTTATTTTCACCAAAGAAATGTAGCAGAATACATTTTGGCCTGAATTTAAGAAGACCAATTTATTTATTTGCAAAACATTTTTGTAATGGAAATGAAGAAAAAAAATATTTTTTTTTATAAATGCTTGGTCTTTTTTTATTTATTTAGCAGAAAATAACCCAGTGGTGACTAAAGTGTTACTAAACCCAGGACCCGGCATTCACTATATCTGATCCCCACAGTACACAGAACATGGAAATGCAATTATTTTAGTAAATATAAACTGCTAAATACCTTTTTCTCATCAGCAGTTAGAACAGTCTTGTGACTTCTATCAGTGTCCAGCAGAGCCCTGGTTACAGCTTGTAGGAGGGGTTTTCATCCTCTGACTGTCCTATGAGGCTGCAGAACCCCTGAACCTCTTGTTTGAACAGCACTGATTGGCCCTGTGCTGATCACACGCACCCTCCCAAGAAAAAAAAAAAAAAACTATCACTACACACCAAACAGCATGTGCAGCTTGCCCCCAAGGTTCTGTTCTATCAGCGGATGGATTGGGGACAGTTTGCCTTTGTGCAGGAGCACAGGGCAAAGGGTGCTTTTAATATAAAAAAAAATAAAAATTCATTAATTCTAAAAAATGTTTTTTTTTTTTCTAACAGTCACTTTAGGTTTTGTGTTTTTGTTTTCATCCCCTGTGACAGCAATAGGCCATGACAGGTACTCTCTAAGGAGAGATCTGAGGTCAATAAGACCCCAGATCTGTCCTCTGCCCTTAAAAGCATTCAGTCACACCAAGATCGGTGTGCTCAAACACTTTCAATTTTTTAAAACGGCACTGTTTACATCTGGGGAAATCGGAAGTGATGTATGCTCGTCGCTTTCTGTTTCCCATATCGTAGAGGCGGACAGAGCGGTTTCAGTCTTCGTCCACCTCTATGATCAGCCAATGAAAGTGCCGGCTGGTCGATCTGGGACAGCTTGCAGAAGGTGGCCTCCTGCTGCTAGTAAAAGTGATCCAGCAGCTAGTTAGCCTCTTGGATTGCTTTTTCAAGAGAGCCGCCCATCAGCTGTAAACTATTCTGCAGCAGGGCTAAATGTACAAAAAAAAAAAAAACCTCTTGTCCGGTGCCTGGAACTGCATGTCCTGGGCATGGGGCAATAGGAATTGCACATCCCTGTGACTGAAGGTGCACTTTAATCTGCAGTTTGTATGTGATTTTTGTCATTCTGTGTTTCCATAGACGTGAATCCGCAGGTCAATTTCTATTGGTTGCGTGGAGAAGTTAGGGTTCCTCGGGGCCACAGGAAAGGATGTATTGATCCTGTCCGCTTTCAGATTGATGATAGCCCACTAGTCCAGCTCAGAGTGCAGAAACCACTTCCAGAGGTAAGACCAAGCACTGGTATTTGGGGAGAGGGGTTCCTGGTTGACCTGTGAGTCTATGAAAATGCCTACATGTTGGGAAAGCTGCTGCTGGACACTGATACTGGTTCTGCCCAGGATATTCGATTAGATTCAGCTTTATTGTCATTGTGCAAAGTGCATGTACAGAGCCAATGAAATGCAGTCAGCATCCAGCCAGAAGTGCAGAAATGGCCCATTTACAGTAAATAACAATATAACAAATATTGGGGTATGGAATATACAGGAATACCATAATCATTGCAATGAGTAGTGTATTAATTGATGAAATATTCGGTAATGAAATGGTGAATAAAATATACAGTAATGCAATATTGTGTAATGATTAGTGTTCAATGATTTAACAACCACAGGGAAAAAATGATTTTTCAGTCTATTTGTACGGGCGCTGACAGATATATTTGTCAGGGGTGTCTGCCATCATGTCTTGCTGCCCATAGACATGAGATTGGGAGTTGGCTAGTGTCCTCATGTGTCTGGGTCATGTGGGAAGTTGTCCCTTTTGTACATTGAGTAATAGATAAATACACTCACCGACCACTTTATTAGGTACACCTTGCTAGTGCCAAGAAAAATCTCCCCCACACCATTACACCACAAACCAGCACCCTGAACCATTGATACAAGGCAGGATGGATCCATGCTTTCATGTTGTTTACACCAAATGTTGACCCTACCATCTAAATGTCGCAGCAACCAGTCTGCCCATTCTCCTCGGACATCAAGGTATTTTTGTCCACACAACTGCCACTCACTGGATATTTTCTCTTTTTTAGACCATTCCCTGTAAACCCTAGAGATGGTTGTGCATGAAATACCCAGCAGATCAGCAATTTTTGAAATACTCAGACCAGCCTGTCTGGCACCAACAACCATGCTACGTTCAAAGTCACTTAAATCCTCTTTCTTTATCATACGACACAGAGCAGGCTGTTCATGACTGTGGGTTATATGCCACCTATAGGTGAATGGAGACTGGCCGACCAGTCAGAGAGGAAGTACTCCCCTAAATAACCCCTCCTACACAGGAAGTACTTCAGTAAAGTGGATGGTCACTGAAAGTGTTGCATGTGTTCTAGGAGCATATCTGGTGGTCCAGAACAGTGCCATTAGAGAATCGGGGACTTGAATCAGATCCATTTGGAAAGCTGTTAGCCAAAATGGATGGTACCCAAGCCTCACTAGATAAAGAGAATCCTCATCGGGGTTTTGCCTGTAATGCTACCTTACAGCGCTGGACCCTGCATAATGGAACCCTGTGCAGTATAATACTAACAAAGGTGCTTTCCATCAGGGTGCTCTACAGGTCCAAGGCAGTGGCCCCACATTATGGGGACCGAGTCCTGGAAGGTCTGCATGACAAAGTCCGCTGTGATGGATGAAGGTTGGACTTCTGTTATGATTCAGGTCAGGCCATGCTGTGTGTGTCACTGAAGGACTATTGGGATGCAGTTTTCTCCTCCAGTCCTCCAGCCACTAGAGGTCACGGGGCTGCTATCTATAGGCTACACTCGTGCAGTGGAGGCAGGCAGTAGATGGGTGGTAATTTTAGTTTGTGTTCCTATGTGGCTGGTGGTTTTAGGCTCCTGAGAGGTAGCAGAGAAACAGAGTAGTCTACCTGAATGATGGTGTGTATTTCCTTTTGGGGGAGTTGCATGACCAGATAGGACGTGATTATACACTGTATTAGCCTGCATAATCCTGGGGGGGGGGGCTTGTACAACTGTTTTTTGATACACCCCTGCAGGGGGATCAGTGCGCTTAAAGGAGTTGAGTCTCCAGAGTAGCTTGCATTTAATCCGAAGGATCTTGCATTTTAGCTGCACTAAAGCAGCATGTATTACATTATTGCATGCATACCTGCGTAGTTTTGTGAACTGTATATTAAATAAACTACATTTGTACATGCATCCGCACATGGGTGCCTGGGCCGCCTCTGCACATGGGTGCCTGGGCCACCTCCGCACATGCATACGAACATAGACTGCATACCTACACTTGCATGAACTGCATAAATTGTATACTTACATGCATACTTGTGTGAGCTGGTTACTGGTATAATTTGCATACTTTCATGCCTATGTACCTGCATGCTTGCTTTCCTGTGCGATCGCATAACTGTAGACCAAGATGGCTATGGACATGAATCCCTGCGGGACTGCATAGTTGGGTGACAATTTTATTGCTGCCTGGAGGGCTCTAATCCAAGACAAGTGGGTCATTTCCACAAATTGTCTGAGGTACAGACTAGAATTTTGGATAAGAGAAGAGCTTTGTTGCAGGCACTCAAACACCTATTGTCTTGGGGAGATCATGGAGGTTGCAGTGGACGAAAGGTTTCAGGGGTTTTATTCAAACCTGTTCACAGTCCCAAAGCCAAATGGGGATGTAAGGTCCTTTTTGGACCTCCAAGGGGCCGAATCCGTTTCTAAATGTCTGGTCTTCCGTATGGAGTCGGTTTGGTCAGTATTGGCCCCTTTACAGGAAGGATATTTTTTGAGTGTCCATAAATATCAAGGATGCATACCTTCATGTTCCAATATGCATTCCTCACCAAAGATTTCTGAGCTTTACAGTAGGGGCTCAGCATTTCCAGTTCATAGCACTACCATTTGGGCTGGCCCAGCTCCAAGAGTTTTTCACAAAAATTCTTCCTCCGGTGTTGGGGCTGCTCAGAACTCGGGGTGTATCGGTCATGGGTTATCTAGACGATCTGTTGCTCAGAGGTCGGTCGATGCCAAGTCTGAAGCAGGATGTGGTCCTTTACGATGCAGATCCTGGAACAGCTGGGCTGGGTGCTCAAGTTCAAGAAGTTGGTCCTGTAGCCAGTATAGAGCCTGGAGTATTTGGGGATGGTCCTAGACACGGTTCAGGCAAAAAAGGTGTTTCTGCCTCCAGGAAAACATTGCGCCCTGAGGAACAAGGTTTGCAGTTTAAAAGCCAAGGGATATCCTTCAATTCACCTCTGTATGAGGTTGCTGGGAAAGATGGTGTCCTTGTTTGCTATTCCCTATGCCCAATTCCACTCCAGAATGCTGAAAAAGGAACATTCTGACTGTTTGGAATAAGAAGGTTCCAGCCCTGGATTACTGTATGTCCCTGTCTCTAGAGGTACTGCAAAGCCAGAATTGGTGGTAGATGACTCACAATTTGGAGAGAGGGAGATCCTTTCGGCCAGTGGTGTGGAAATTGGTAACCACTGATGCCAGCCTCTCAGGTTGGGGCTGTCCTGGAGGAGGCTACAGTTCAGGGAACGTGGCATCCATGGTAAAGGGTTCTACCCATCAATGTCCTGGAACTTTGGGCAGTGAGGCTGGCTCTAAGGTATTGGAAATCCAGGCTTCAGGGTTGGCCCGTAAGGATTCAGTTGGACAATGCCACAGCAGGGGCATAAATCAACCACCAGGGTGGTACTCACGGGTCTTGGGGCCCAGGAGGAGGGGAATTACATTCTGACATGGGCAGAGAGATATGTTCCAAGTTTGTCAGCAGTGTTCAGTCCTGGAGTGGAAAATTGGCAGGCGGATTATCTCAGTCACCAGTGGTTGATTCCAGGGGAATGGAATCTGCATCCCGAAGCTTTCAAGGGAATCTGCATCCCGAAGCTTTCAAGGGAATCTGTCAGCGATGGGGTTGCCCAGACGTAGATCGATTGGCATCCAGGTTCAACTGCAGGGTCGATCTTTTGTGTCCAGGGTGAGGGACCCTCGTGCGGCGGGGTAGATGCCTTTAGTGTTTCCTTGGAGCCAGTTTCCACTGACTTATGCCTTTCCTCCGATTCAGCTGCTGCCACGTCTCTTATGTAGGATTCGGGAGGAGTCTATTCCTGTGATACTGATTGCCCCGACCTAGCCCAGGAGGGCCTGGTACACAGTGAAGATGACAGTAGACAGGCTGTGACGGCCAGACTTGCTGTTTCAAGGTCCTATATTGCACCCAGCTTTACGGTCACTAAATTTGATGGCATGGCTATTGAAACCCAGATCTTCAAGGATAGGGAAGTATTGGCTTCTGTCATCTCCATCATGTTGGAGGCTAGAAAGGTAGTCTCTAGGAACATTTATTACAGAACTTGGAAGGCTTACACTCCCTGGTATGAGGGCTGGAAATTGCACCCACGAAAGTATGTGATTGGTAGTATTCTGTTGTTTCTTCAAACATGGTTGGAGAAGAAATTGGCTGTTGGTACCATTAAGAGCCAGGTTTCATCATTAGCTGTTTTCCCAGAGGCCCATTGCATCTCACTCTTTGGTTCGCATTATTTTACAGGGCGTAATGTGTATCCTCCTCCTGTCATATTACCTTTGTGTCCTTGGGACCTGAACTTGGTTTTGGAGGTTTTGCAAAAATCATCATTTGAACCTATTAGATTCCACTGGTTCTGTTGACTCATAAGGTTTTGTTTCTAGTGGCAATCACTTCTGCGAGAAGGGTGTCGGAGCTGGCAGCTCTTTCTTGCAGAGAACCATTTCTGGTTTTGCATCATAAGATGGTGTTGTGACCTCAACCAAAATATTTTTGTACGAAAACTGGTTTCAAGTTTTTATCTCAATCAGGACATCGTTCTGCCTTCATTCTTTCCTAGGCCTCGGTCAGCAAGAGAAAGATCTCTACGTACTTTGGATGTGATACACGCTGTAAGGGCCTTAAAGGTAACGACAAAGGTTAGATTCTCTGTTCGTGCTGTCAGAGGGACCTAGGAAGGGGCAGGCGACATCCAAGACGAGTATTTCACATTGGATCTGCCAATTGATCATTCAAGCCTATGGTTTGAAAGGTAAAGTCCCACCCTTCCGGTTGAAGGAACACTCTACCAGGAGTGTGGGGGCATCTTGGGCAATCTGCAATCAGGCGTCATTGGCTCAGGTTTGCAAGGCCACTACATTGTCTTCAGTTCACACATTCACAAGGCTCTACCAGGTGGATCTCAGAGCTGCAGAGTATTCTGCCTTTGGCCGCAGTAG